CACGTCCTCTACCCTCACCTTCATCCCACTTCTTTCCCTGTATCCCTCCTTTCCATCCTTCAAGCAGAAGACTTCCTTCTAGGAAGTTTTCCTTCCCGGATGCCTGCCCTCCATCATCTCGAGTCCCTGAGAAAATTCTTTTTTCCTGGAAGACTGGCTTCTCCTCCCACCACGCACCCAGCCCTAGGCTCCCTAAAGCCCATTCAAGACCCTGTGCTGTGATGTCTCCCCTGGAGCATGGCCTGCTTACCAGTAGCTTGCCTGTTTCAAGGTCCCAAGTCCTCAGTGTTTTGTCATAGGCTGCTGCAGTAATTCTGGAAATAAAATGCCAAGCATAGTGTCTTTATGACAGAGACAGTTACGTGTATGGTTTCCTAAGAGAAAATTTTGCTAATTTACGACCAAAATTGCAAATAATACCAGAATCTTTCTAGAGATGCTCCATGAGCCCCCCTAAAGAGCGGCGTGTTCTCACTGAAAACAGAGAGAACCTAACACAAAAGCCCTACAGCACCATTCTCTTCCCTGCTCCCTCAGCCATCCAAATATTTTCTTTCATATTTAGGGTGTTAAAGGTATTGTTTCTTCTGTTCTTTAACTGACCATCTTCTTCTAAGGGGATAGCTACAATTCCCAAGGATCAATCATTTCTGCTCACATGTCTACCTTTTTACAGAAAAATACTTTAATAGACAGCTCATTTCATCCTGAAATGTTTTCTTGTACATTCAGTAAAATAGTAAAAATGTACCTTTGTCTTGTCATATTGCATGTTTCCGTGGCAATCTCTGTTCTTTATATGAGATAAATTTCCATGAAAGTTAAATGCCCATATTGTTTTACCAAACTGTCCCTAGTGTGCTGTACACCGGCCTGCCTCTTCACTCTCACTTTTCCTGATCAATGTAAAATGAAGGAAAGGTCACCTTCTGTTGTCAGCAGGGACACTGCACTCTAAAACAGGAGCTTTGGGCCCGTTCTCAAAATTCCGAATAAGAGATCCATCCACAGCATCCTCAAATCAACAGGAGAAAGGAAGAGAGAGCAAGAGGTCATTGAGGTATTGACTGAAGTTGTAAACTGAGCTCGACATCATCCCTGAGCTTCACTACAATAGTAAAGTATGAGAACTGCATGGTCCTATGACTCTCACCCAGCTCAAAGGGTAAAAGGACTTCCTCACCCAGGAGGTCACATAATCACCCAGGTCACATAGCTATTGAGTTCCAAATGTGGGGCCTGAACCATTTGGACAGTCCCCAAACCCTCCTGCCTTGTCTGCCTGAACTTGGTACCCACTAATGACACAGAAGATGCTCCTCCAAGGTCATCTGGAGGGTGGGGAGCTATCCTCCACCCGGTTACCTGAACCAGAACCCAGGAACCAGCTTTGACTCATTCCACCCTGTCCCCCTGAAGCCAGAGAAGATGACAAACTCAAGACTGACTATCCGCCCCCAAGAGCCCAGCCCCAGCCACGTGGTCCTCTGTGGCCTGGCCCCTCAGGAGCATTGCCATCCCCCAGCCCTGCTCCTTTCTCACCCACGCCTGACTGGCTAGCAATGTCCCCCAAAACAGGCCTGCTAGGGTCTGCTGGCTATGCCAAGAAGGCTTTGGTAGTGTTCTCATTGGCGACCTCTCTGCAACTTTTTCTGACCATCACACCCTTGTTTCTTGTGCCCCTGCTTCCTGCACATTGGGGCACTGATCTGTGCTCAGGCCTGCCTCTCCCAACCACCCCTCAAGGACAGGTTCCAGGCATGGCTACTTTTCTGTTCTCTGTGACCAACCAGGCCTGGCCATACCACCCCTGTGGATAGAACTCAATTTTCCAAATGAGAAAGATACCCAAAGAGATGACACAGCACAGACATCCCAGGTAGGCCCTAGGCACAGCTGGGACCCTGCAACCAAAAGTGGAGAGCTCTCAGTCCGGGGTTCTCCGTTCCCTGCTCCCACTGTTTCCAAATCGACAGGCTAACAGCAGCTGCGCGAACCTCATCTCTCTCTGGAGGCTTGACAATAATGCGAGCCCTCACTTTGCTTTCCTTTCTTGTACTTTTTTCAGAAAGTTCTCTCCAAAGCTTTGTAATCCTCGAGTGCCAGGAAATTCAGTACTGGGGAACTCTCCACAAGAAGTGACATAAGCTTACGGGATGTTTTGGTTCCACCTAACACAAGGCCACCTACCCATAGCTTCACGGTGCAGTCATAGGAGCCACTGAGGAGCTTTGTGTCATCCACACAGAAGTGACAAGAACTCACAATGTGCTGGTGTCCTGTCAGAATTTGAAATGGGACCTGGAAAAAGATAGAATGATTGAGTTAAGTGGGTTGCAGAATATAAGATCGATATTAAAAAATCAATTGTATTTCTATACATTTGCAATGAACAATCTAGAAAAAAAAAATAGAAAATTCTATTTCCAAAAGCATTGAAATAGGAATATATTTAACCAAAAAAGTGTAAAATTTATACTCTGAAAATTCCCAAACATTGTTAAAAGAAATTTAAAAGGACCTAAATAAATGGGAAAACATCCTGTGTTCATAGATTAGCAGACTTACTATTGTTAAGATAAAAATATACTCCACAGATTCAATACTATCCCATCAAAATTCCAGCTGACTTCTTTTTCTGAAATTGACAAACTGATCCTAAAATTGAGATAGAAACTCAAAAGAAGCAGAATAGCCAAAACAATTTTGAAAAAGAAAGGTGGACCACTCACAATTCCCAATTTCAAAACTTACTACATACAAAAGTTACTATAATCAGTATAAGACTGGCATAAGGATAAATATATAGATTGGTGAAATGAGATTGAGAATCCAAAAATAAGCCCTAATATTTTTGGTCAATTGATTTTTGACAAGGATGTCAAGATAATTTAAAAGGGGGAGAGAATAACCTTTGCAACAAATTGTGCTTGGACAAGTGGATATCCACAGGCAAAAGAATAAAGTTGGACCCTTACTTCACACCTTATACAAAATTAACTCCAAATGGATCGAAGACCTAAATAGGAGAGCTAAAACTATAGGACTCTTAGAAGAAAACATGGGTGTAAATTCCTGAACTTGCATCAGGTAATGGTTTCTTAGATATGACACAAAAAATACAAGCAGTAGCAGCAGCAACAACGATAACAACAATGATGATAAACTGGACATTATCGAAAGACAACATCAAGAAAGTAAATAAATAAATAAAACAATTCATACAAGGGAAGAAACACTCTGCAAATCATATATTGGAGAAGGGACTCGTATCTAGAGTATATAAAGAACTCTTAAAACTCTACCTATTGGTATGGTGTTATTTGAAAGCGGATTTGGATTAACTGTAAGTATATATTGCAAACTCTTGGGAAACCACTAAAAAAACTTCAAAAAAAGAACTGTATTTGATATGCTAAAAAAAAAATAGAGAAAATGGAAACACATAGAATGCTCAGTTAAAACCACAAAAGGCAGAAGAGTGGAAGAGAAAAATAAAAATAAAAATCAAGGTCAACAAATAGAAAACACTAACAAATTTGGTATTTGTTATAATCCAATTATATCAATAATCATTTTAAATAGTCTGAATCTACCAATTAAAGACAGAGGTTGTCAAAATGGATCAAAAAACAAGACCTAACAGTATGTTGTCGACAAGATATCCACTTCAGATATAAAGACGCATATAGATTAAAAGTAAATGGGTCGAAGAAAATATACCAAACTAACACCTATTAAAAGTAAGCAAGAATAGTTGTATTAACTTTAGACAAAGCATACTTCACAGTAGGAAAGGTATCAGGGATAAAGAGGGGTATTACATAATGACAAAAGGGTCAATTCTCCAAGAAGATATAACAATCCTTAACACGTATGTGCCTAACACCAGAGCATCGAATTACATGAGGCAAAAACTAATGAAATTGCCAAGAGAAATAGGTAAGTCTGCTATTATAGTTGGAGACTTCAGCACCCTTCAATGAAAAATAAACAGATCCAGCAAGCAGAAAATTAGTAAGGATACAGTGAAACTCAAGAACACCATCAATCAACTGGATATAATGGACAGCTATAGACTACTTCATCCAACAACAGGGGAATACACATTCTTCTCAAACTTATATGGAATATTCACTAAGATAAACCACATTCTAGGCCATGAAATATACCTTACCAAATTTAAAAGAACAAAAATTATACGATGTCTGCTCTTAGAACACATTAAACTAGAAATCAATAACAGAAATATGGTTGGAATGCCAAAACACATGGAGACTAAATAACACATGGTTCAAAAAAGAAATCTCAGAAAATTTTTTAAATATTTTGAACTAAACAAAAATGAAAACACAAAAACTAATCAAAATTTATGGGATGCAGTGAAAAGAGTGCAATTTATAGCATTGAATGCACATATTAAAATAGAAGAAAAAGCTAAAATTAATTATCTAATCAACTTCCACCTTAGGAAAATAGAAACAGAGCAAATCGAATGCAAAGTAAGAAGAAAAGAAATACTAAGGATTAGAATATTAAATCAATGAAACTGAAAATAGGAAATCAATAGATAAAATCAATGGACTCAAAAGCTGGTCTTTGAAAAGATTAATAAAATTGATCATCTTCCGGCCAGAATAACTAAGAAAAATGAGAGAAGACACAAATTACTAATATTATAAATGAAAGAGACATCACTACAGATCCGATGGACATTAAAAAGATAGAATAATATAAACAACTCTGCTCCCACAAATTTGATAACCCAAAATAAAATGAACTAAATTCAAATTTGAAATGAAGTAGACTAATTCCTTGAAAGACTCCATTTGCTAAAACTCACATGAAAAGAAATAGATAATTTGAATAGGCCTTTATCTATTTCAGAAATTGAATCACTAATTAATAACCTTTCAAAACAATAGCACCAGGCCCACATGGGTTCACTGGTGAATTCTACCAAATACTTAAGGAAGAAATTATACCAATTTTCTACAATCTCTTTCAGAGGATATATCCAGAGGGAATACTTTCTAACTCTTTCTGGAAGGCTAGCATTATCCTAATACCAAAACCAGACAACGTTACAAAAAAAGAAAACTACAGACCAATAACTTTCATGAACAGAGATGCAATTATTCTCAACAAATAGCAAATAGAATCCAACAATGCATACATACATCATGACCAAGTGGGAATTACCCCAGGTATGCAAGGCTAGTTCGCTATTCCCCCAAAATTAATGTAATCAATCACATCAATAGACTAAAAAGAAAAATCATACCATATCAATAGGTGCAGGAAAAGCATTTGACAAAATCCAACATCAATCCATGATAAAAATGCTCAGTAAACTAGGAATAGAGGAGAACTTTCATTTTGACAAAAAAAAAAAAAAAAACCTACAAAAAACCTACAGTTAACATTATAATTAATAATGAGAAACTCAAAGCTTTCCCACTAAGATCAAGTACAAGGCAAAGGTGTTCCCTCTTTCCAGTCTTTTTCAACATTGTACCAGAAGTTCTAGTTCATGCAATAAGACAAAAAGAGAATATGAAAGGTATAAGATTTGGAAAGAAGAAATAAAACCGTCTTAGTTCACAGATGACATTATCACCTACATAGAAAATTGAAAAGAACAAACAAAAAAACTTCTGGAACTAATAGCGAGGTTGTAGTATACAAGATTAATACACAGAAGGTCGATCACTTTCCCATATATCAGCAATGAACAAATGGATTTTAAGTTAAAAACACAGTATCATTTACAGTAGCACCAAAAAATTAAATACTTAGGTGTATAGCTAAGAAAATATGTACAAGATCTATATAAGGAAACTACAACTCTGATGAATAAAATCAAAGAATTGAATAAATGGAGAGACATTCATGGATAGAAAGACTAAATATTGTCAAGATGTCAGTTCTTCTCAACTTCATCTTTGGATTTAATGCAATCCCAATCAAAATCTCAGCTAATTATTTTGTGGATATTAACAAATGAATTCTAAAGCTTAGTGAGGTAAAAGATCCAGGAAAGCTATTGAAAGAGAACAAAGTTGGAGTGCTGGCACCATTCAACTTTAAGATTTACTATAAAGCTACAGAAATCAAGACAGTGTAGTGTTGGTGAAAGAATAGACAAATAGATCAATGTAACAGAATAGAGAACACAGAAATGGAACCCACGTAAATAAAATCAACTGCTCTTTGACCAAGGAACAAAGCCAATTCATGGGAAAAATGATAGTCTTTCAACAAACTGTACTGGAACAACATGCAAAAAAATAAATAAATCTTGATACAGACCTTAAACCTATCACAAAAATTAACTCAAAATGTACTACAGACCTAAAAGTAAAATGGAAATTTATAAAATTCCTAGACAATAACATAAGAGAACATCTAGATGACCTTGGGAATGGCAATGACTTTTTAAATACAACACCAATGCCACAATCCATGAGAAAAAATTGATAAACCGGACTTTATGAAAATTTAAAATTTCTGCTCTGTGAAAAACTGTATCAAGAGAATGGGAAGACAGAAGAGACCAGGCAGAATGGCATAATGATAGAGGCTTTGTTCATCCCTCTTGCGACCACACCAAAGGTGTGACGGAAACATGGAGCAAACAGCAAGCAAAGTCACCTGGAAGTCTAGATGAACAGAATCACTACAACTAGGGAGACAAATAAGACATCAACTTGCAGCTGTAGAAGGTAAAAGGGGGCAAAATGCGAGGCTGCTGGGTCCCAAGTGGCTGAGTGGGACAGAGGCTGCGGCAGTAGCGGCAGGCAGCAGCTGCAGACGCCTCTTAAAAGGGCCATGCCCCCGACGGGACTTTCGCAGTGACGGACTCACTCGTTCTCAGCACCAAAGCTGGGTTGGCTGCTTGGGGGCACCAGGGACTTACAGGGACACACAGAGGTATCAGAGTGAGGGCCAGAGGCAAGGCTCTCTCCCTAGCAGAAGTGTCGGCAGTATCTATTTTCCTCTGTTGAGCCCTCCCCGCTCCCAGGGTGCGGACCCAATGCCACCACAACTGAGACATCATCAAACTGGATAACAGGTCGCTCCGTCCAGAGAATTCTTTGAAACTCCGCCTCCTCCAACTTGTGACCCCACCCAAGCCACATTCAGTTGTGTCCTCAGTGAGTCCTGTGTCCCTCGCTGAGCAGCTCCAAGACCCACACTGGTGGCAGCTGACCTTGGCTTTTGTTGTGGCCTCTTGAGGCAACTATAAGCACAGCATCTGTGAATTGCTTGCTGAATCTTAACAAGTGGCCCCGGAGGGGCACAGGCTGGGGCTAAACTTGCCCTGCAGCTGAACCCCTCTCAGGACTGTGCCACTGGACACCTACTACACAAAGCCACACTAATAAGACCAGGAGACTTAGGAGCTTTGCTTAGTACATAGAAACAGACACAGAAAGGCAACCAAAATGAGAAGACAAAGGAGCAGAAACCATGTGACAAACAGAACAGAGATCAAGATATAATGGAGTCCAGCAATCTAACAGATGCAGAATTAAAA